GCCGTTCGCCGAACGTAGCCGCGGTCACGGGATGAACGCTTTGTCTAACAAAGGCATGGAGTAATTCTATAGCTCTCCTTAAAAGGGAAATAGTTGTAACACTCGACAGTAAACATTGCAACGGTCTCTGTCCCGTAGCTCGCCACACGCAGACTCTATTCTTCGAGTAAGATGATTGCCAAATGTAAGCGTCTCCGCAGTACATGTTCAGCTAGTCTGAGGGCCCGTTATAAATCTTAAGATTTAGCTAACTAAAGTCCTTCAAACAAACAGTCTTTGTCCCAACTACGAGAAGATAGAGGAGACCTATTTTTCAACGTACAACGTCTCCCACTAGCAACTTTCCCTCGAGGGCGGCTAGCATCTTTTTCCAACCACCGATGTGGAGATTGACCAATTAGCAGCAACGCCAATTTCCCTTACCTTCTGAACGAAGGCTGTCCTCGACGAATCCGATGATCTCGCGTCCTTAGACACACCCTATCATAATTTTCCTCTGTGGCATCATCGGGACGGAAATTCATTCCTTCTTGCGATCTCATCGACGAAAAAAGTAACATCTTACGACCAGTGCATATTACGCGTCCGACTTAGATTTTGTGAGTACGTTCATCTATCATCCCGTCGACCGCGAATTCGTTATTGAACCTAGGATCATTGTCATTAGTTTCTCGAGTACCTAACTACCACGGTTATTTGTCCGGTTCTATAATAATCGTATTTGCACTAGTCAATGTCTTCTCTATTGCATAACGACAACGTGTAACCCAAACGAAGATTCGTTTCACGCCCCTAACCCTAAGTCTAATGTAATGTAATAAACAAAAAATTGTTTATGCAAAAATATAATATGTTTGTAAAATTATGAAAATCTAGCCGCAAACTGAGACATTCCCACCACATTTCACTCGGAGGGTCTACAAAGTGATAATTTTCGTTGCGAGAACGAAATAGGAACGAAACACGGACGTTTTCTGGGAAAAAGAGTTACTCCTAAGAGAAATTTCCCTAGGGTGACGTGAACTCCCTTGCTCCATGAATCGAGCTTCGAACAAGCAGCCGAGAGATATTAAGCGTACGACAAGACGTAACGTCTATAATTTAATAAAGCCAGAGAATGTGTACAACACGAGTTACTTAAGCGCGTTTTCGAAAATCTCTTCCACATTAAATACAATTGCCAGTAAATAAGTAAATAAAGCTGGTTATTTGACAATCAGTTTCTGTATTTCGAAGATTATAACATAAAACAAGGGGAAGAAGAAATAAATAGAGCGAGATAAAATTAACATATTACTGTGATATTATTATATAGGAACATATAACGATTCACACATCGATCATTTGTCAACAATGATTTAGTGATATTTGTCATTTTACTGTCATCAAATTCCCCAATTTTCGCAAAACCAACATTTTCAAAATCACGGATTTCAATTTATTATCGACTCACTGATACAAATAACATTAGAAGAATGTTAACGGTAGAAGATACGGCAATTTAACGAAAGAAATGTAGATATATTCCTGTGTCACCTCAGAAGAGATATAAAAAGATGTAAAGCTTCTTGGAGAAAGCGGAGAAAGTTTCCATGTCTCGGTAATACATAAACGTCACGTATCGAACTTTTCCCTTTCTTCGTTACAAAAATATGACCTTTCAATGAATATAATCCTGAAAATGGGGGTAACAACAGTAAAACTGTGCTAGAGTGAATTATTTCATTGTCGTATAACGAAGATACAAAATTTAAATAGGTATGGCTTGAATGTGAAGCAGCAGATAAATTTTTCGTGCCCGGGGTAACAATTTATTCCGCTGTAAACTTGGATGTCTCTATTTTAAGAGAGAGCCCGTCCCGAGAGACTTGTAAATGAACCATCGCGATAATGCTTTTGTAACAATCGGTTTCGAGTCGGTTTCGAGTCGGTCTGAATATTATTCTTCGACTATTCCGAATGTACAAGCAAAACCGTGTCTCGATTCAGCGAAACTTGTCCGCCTCTGTTTCTGCTTCGATTCACCAAAGCACAGGGCTGCTGCTGCTACTGCTGCTGCTGCTGCTGCTGCTGCTGCTGCTGCTGCTGCCTTATTTACTCCTTCGCCGCCTCTGTCCCTACGAACATACTCTTTGGTATCGCAAACACATCTGAAAGTGGAGAAAAGTGGAACTTTTTTTTAGGTTAGGTGTGAGAAGTCACAGTCGAAAAGAAGTTTTCGAGTTACGTAATTGATTTGATTAACTACTTATTAGATGCAAAATATTGTACATAATTGTGTACGATATATAGAGGAGGGTCGAAGGAGAGACTGGTTAATCTAATGGAAATGATGGCGAAAGTAGTGGTCAAGGTCGGTCAACTATCGATCAATCAATTTTTTTCCCATTCTCCTCCCATTGTACAAACGGCCTCTGTTTCATCTGATCTTGTCCCGACATTCTACCGCCTTGATATTAATTCACCTCATCGACCTGTCGCGTTAACAAGCTACAAATAAAAAAGAATTTATCAATCGCTGAAATAGGAAGCAGTTGGCTTTTCTAACACGACCAACATATCGGTTTTCTGTTTCTTGATTGAAATAACAGCAGGCCTCGACGTGTTTATCAAGCTCTTGATACAACGTGGTACGACGATAGAGACTGTTCTAACCTCGTCGTTTCTTCTGTTCTTTATTTACTCTTTTATATTTGTCAGTTTGCTTTTTTTTACGTGGAAATCAACAACGAATTGTTCGCCCTGTTATTTGCGCCCGGAAAACAGTTCTTGCGCGCAACAATAGAAAACTCCAACAAGTTGTCAGTTTGTCGACATAGCGTGAATAACATTTCCTGAAATATTTTATATTCCGCTTTGTGTTGAAGGTATTTGGAAGAAAAATTGGACACACTGATAGATTTGTACGAGAAGAAATAAGCTTTTCAATGCTCTGGTAATTTTTCGTAATTTTTGCGTATAAATAATAATAAATAAATATCGTGTATAAAAGTGAAAAATAGGATTTTTTAAAATCTCTTTCGCCTGTTTCTCATACCTCATTTTCTTTGTTTGCGACGCAACGATAGAATCGTTATCGCCGTGAATCGTGAAAGCGCGCGCGTGTAAAAGTATGCAAAATCGTAAGTAAACGTTATTATTCTTGTTACCAAATGAAATTGATATATTTAATACTTGTCATACGTACCTGCGATAAGATATGATACTAGAATGTACATGCCATGAAATATGGTGAAATTTGACTAAAATGTCGAATTTTTTATTTTATAAATAAAAAGTTGAGATATAGCAGTTTTTCTTCTATCTAACATAATTTAGCCAAATTTCACCAAGTTTCCCCGGTCCCAGCATCGATCCGACTGGCTTACAAATACAAATCCGATGCCATTGTGTTAAGATAACCAACTAAATTCTTCTCATAAAAATAAATTCTTATCAGAATGACGATTTAGAATCTAAGCAGAAAGACTGATTCATTTCAATAAAAGGTTTTAGTATAAGTGCATTGAAATATACATATGCAGTAGATAGAATATCATACCTTATATGTTATATCTTAATCTAGTAATATTGTATCCTTGCAGTATTATTAAACAATAGTGCATTTAAGTCAATGAAAGATCACATATATGTATTTCCTTTCGTAGGAAACTGAGAGGAGAAAGTCCCTTTTAAATATCTTCAAAGTTTTATTAATATCCTTGGTACGATGTTTGATGTGAGTTGTTGTCGGTTGACCTCGATCTTTTCATCTTACTCGGCGATTGTTGCGCAATCGGTATTTCTGCCAGCCATGAAAATTTATGAAAATCTTGAAAGCTTTTCATCGAGTTTACACTACGTTCAGCGGTGTCTCGTTGAACGATGTCAGATGGAAAGCTGCTTGAAAGAACGAATATAGGTCGAATATAGGTCGTCGTTGTTACCCGTTTATTTTATCAGGGTTGCTGGGAACTCGACAAACGAGAGAACGAGAAAGAAAGAAAGTTCTTTGATAACTCGTGTGCTGCACATTAACGCAATTTTCTTTTATTTCTCTTGATACTTTCGTCGAATAATAGGTTCGCTCGCTATTTACGAAACATTGAACCCCGTTCCGAACGAATGTTCCTCGCACGGCATCACACGGAACAGCGTTACATCGTATTTCACGTTTCCCTTAACATTAATCGCCTCGGAATACGTAAACGAAACACGAGTAGTAACTTCACAGTACATATAAGTAGAAATATCTTTTCTTCTGTTTCTTTCTCGTAAAACAAAAGTTATATTTCTTACAAGCATATACGTATGTAGATAAAACAGAATTTGATTATCAGAACACCAATGAAGCAAAAATTTTGGGGATAATACCTCTAAGAAAGAATAGAAATAAAAGTATTTTTTGTTATATTTCTATTCAAAATTTTTTGTTCTTGTTTGTTTAGTATGAAATTTTATAAAATAGTTCAAAATAAATTATCTTATTTCGTATACAAACAAAATTACTTGATTATTCGAATAGTTAGTTTGGATAATCAAAATTCTATTGTATGTTTAACGTCTTCTGACTGTAGAATAGAGTTCTTAAGAATCTTGGCTATCCAAGGTGGTTGTCCTAACATTATCGCCGTGGAAAAATTTTATTACTCGTTTCACGAACGGATTTTCATCGTTATTGAACGATAATTGGCAGATATTTGTTTCCTTCGCCTTCCTTTTCATCTGCTCGATAATGTTACATGCTTTAATAATACGAACAATTTCTGCATGGGAAACTTGTTAAAGTTCCATTAGTTCCATACCATCGATCTTTATTCGTGTTGCATTAGCGAAATTCCACGGTACTTTTTCTCACATTTGCCCACTCAAACTTCTTTCTCGGTGGATGTATTGTTTTCGAGTTAAATGTCCAATAATTTGGTGAGATAAACTCCTTCGTACTCTTGAAACGCCAAAACTCTTACTCTCTGAAATTACTTCTTGTTAATTTGTACGTGCTCTTATTCTTTCTATCCTTTTTACGAAACAAGTGCCAAGCTTTACTTATTTAAAGACATTCTGTCACATTTCTCTTACATTACTTTAACATAGTCGATACTGACGCTATATGTATGTAAATACTTTTCAAAAACATATTAATATCAGTCGATATTCCGAAGATTAGCAGGCAGCTATACAAAAATTAAGTAATCGATACAAGTATAATTTAGTAAAACTATAATTAATCTGATCTAAAATTACCCCCCCCCCTTACAATTGAAATTTTGTTGGAGATTATAGTAGATTATAGCTCCTCATTTTCGTTTGAAATCTATAAAGTATTAAAGTTAATAAACATTATAATAGTAAATAGAATAATGCGGTCATAAACAAAAAAATTGTACAACATTGTAGAGAGTTAAGGTAAACCAAGTGGTTGTTGTGACATTACAAAGGGAAACAAATTCCTAACATGCACTGTGCAGTTGGACACAGTGAGTGAGTGAGTGACTGAGTGACTGAGTGAGGGCGCATATGTATGTGTGTATGCGTGTGTGAGAGAAGGAGAGAGAGGGAGGGAGAGAGAGAGAGAGGAGGGGAGAGGGGGAGAGGGGGGGAGAGAGGGAGAGAGAGAGGGAGAGAGAGGGAGAGAGAGAGAGGGAAGAAAAAATAATATATATACGAGTATGTAGATCGAGAACGATCAAAGTGTTTACATGCCTCACTTCTGCATCATACGAGTTCCTCAAAAGTCACATTGATCAACTCGATAAACTGAAATGTAGAGAAAAATGACATGATAATTGTAAACATTATTTTTCGAAATTTTCTCTAAAGTTCGTGATTATCTACCCGTAATGAATAAATTCATGAAAGAAAGTCCTTTGCTCTTCGAAATATTGAACATTCACTGTGTACCTGGCTAATGAAATTGAAAACTCGATACAGAATTAAGTCGATCAATTTGATTTCTCAGAATGTTGGTGTGTCGCTAAATGACAAGATCACATACCTTTCCTTCTTCCCCTCGATTCGTTTTACATGAAAGCTACAGTTTGCGACGTTAACTCTGCGTACTGTTTGATAACGATTACACAGTGACGCTACGAACAGGAACGCTATGAACGTGCTCCGTGTATTCTACATAGGGAAATAAAGATCAGTTCGATGCGTCGAAAGCGGCACTTTAAATGCTTGTCACTTGATTCTTAGATATTAGCAAGCTAAATTCCATTCCAAATTCCTCGAATTCGTTCGATTCTTGCCTCAACTATCTATTATCTGGAAGTTCTTTCAAAAGAATTTTATTTTAAAGTTTATCTGTTTGCGCCGATGTGACTGCTTAATAAATTTTAAACTAACGATTTCCATTGTGTCTATTAATCAAAATAATGCTTGTTTATACTAAAAGAGAAAAATGGAGATTGTTTAACAAACATTAAATTTAATATTTTTAAAAATTTATTTACAATTTACTTGTAATTATATTTATCATGTAATAAGTACAGTAGATTATTGCCTAAAAATCGTATTTGGTAGCAATTTCATCAAATTTGATTAGGATAATATGTTGTTTGAAAATGTTCAGGTAGAATGCAAAGAGAAATGAATATTTAAGATTGACAGGTGTAGCTACTAAAATTCGTAGGAAGATGAAAAGCAAAGACTGAGGGGAATGGCTTCTTTGAAGCTAAGAACTGAACCGCAAAGTATATATTTGTAGGAAGTGTAAATTTATAGCAGCTTTGAAATTCTTGAAATCTCTAAAAGCGGATTTGTTAAGAATTCTAGTTCGGACGACGAAGTTGGATCTATAATGGAAAATAAAATTCTCTCGGTGAAAATTTCTGTAATCTTGCAAACTCAGTTTATAATTTCATAAATTACGATTTCCATCGGAAATTTAATATCGCTTAAAGATTAGTATGGCCTGCATAAAAAGATAAAGCGATTTCATATAATATAATCTCTCGATCGATTAAAGTTCTTTTTCAAAGTAATAAATTTCCTCTTTGATGTTATTTTTCTCACTTTCTTTTGACTGAATTATTATATCTTACAAATGACTTTTTATCACTTTACTTAGGTGTTCATACGTTTCCGCGCTTCCTCTAATTTATCGACGAGCGAGTATTTTATTAAATGTATTTTATTAAATTAATATCGATAACTTGTAAATTATAACCTATAAAATTTCATAAATAATATTAGTTCAATTGTGAAAGGTGATATGGATGTAGCAGAATCGATAAGAAGTCAAAATTATAGGTATTTGTCAAAATGTCCGTCCGGATGCTATCGAAAAATCTAGCACATCAGTTTGTATTGTCACATCAATGTGTAACAATACCATCAGCGTTGCCTAATTGCTCGAAATATAATTCCCTTTCCGATATCACGGTTCTCTGTCGGCATATCGACGTCGAATCGACAGACGCGCAACGTTTTAGGCGATTGTCATTATCGTCGGACAATTCGAATGTAACGAATAGAATTAATCGGAAATTCGAGCGAATCGAGGAGACTGCCGGTGACGTATACGTGGGTCAGTGACAGCGTTCGAGCGAACAAAGCCGGCGACTTTTATCCCTCTTTAGACGCGTAGACATGTTTGTGAAACAAAAGGAAGGAAATATGACTGAACTTTTTTGCGTATTATTATTTGTGATTACATTTCTCTATATAGTAATATAAATATGTTATTGTACATTACATGTAGATATATGTTACTGATAAATTAAAATGATACACAATTTTGTCAAGTTTAATATGTAAAAACTCAAAATAGTGTCGTTTTTGTTTGTTTTTTTCTTTTTAGGTTTAACACACGGCTAGAATTACAAACAGTAGAACAGACAAAACCGCATCGTTTAGGATTGCCAAATATTCGATTTCTAAGATAATAAACTTTCTGTGAAACATAATAACGAAGATTATTATATGACAGAGTTAATTTTCTCAAAGTAATAAATTATCCCTATGAAACACAGTAAAGAAGTTAATGCAATAGATATCGTAAATCATATTAACGATTAAATAAATTTTCTTACATCGCCGTTATACATACGCACTCGCAATCGTTTGCCCCATCCCCTTCCCACCCCGCAAAACAAATAAAACAAATGCATGAAAACAAGAGAACAAAATTAGACATCCGAGAGTTACGTATAAGAAAACGTGTTACGATATTTCTCAAATTACGAGCCTGCATCGTATCGTTCATCGAAACTACGAACTACTACCTACTATCGATTAATCACGCATGCACTAGTTTCACGCGAGCAAAATTGGCCATAGTTTGCTAAACTCGTTCGGACAGCTGTCACTGACATTGGAAAAGCGGTCCGGTTACCCTCTCGACTGTTTTTGTACCGATAAAAAATTACTTCTATTATTTTCGCCAGTTAACCCATCGGGAACCTACTCGATCTGCTCGGCTGCTGAACGATGCAAATCATACCATAGCAGTAGTAATAATGATAATAGTGATAATAATAACAATAATAACAATAACAATAACAATAGTAATAATAATAATGATAATAATAGTAACAATCATAACTAACGAATCGCACTTGGGGGACGCTGAGCGTATGGATTAAAGGGGAGTGAATTGTGTACACATAAGCAACACGTAAAATACATGTCAACGCTGCGCACGGCACGCTCTGGCCGTGATCATTCGCGACTTACCAACTTACAAAAACGACGATCACACGTCACGCAAGCTTACGACACGCATTCTTGCATTCACGAGAAAAATTGTTCTTCTTCAATGTATGTACAGTGCTCGATTAATTATTGCTATAGTACATTTATACAGTCTAGACGCGTACAATAGGCCATACGAATGAAAAATGAAGCGTTCGCGACGTTTTTTTCCGGTTTTCTTCCTTTTTCGATTCTTTTCTTTTTCTTGTTCTAGAAGAAAAACTCGACTCGCTACTTGCAGCGGGAATAAAATGGCGAGCGCGACGCGACGTGGTACGTGGAACCAAGCGGAAACTTGGCCCTGCATATCGTACGTAGATAGATGGAGAGAATGTTCAGTAAAATTCAACCGTCCATTGTGCACTCGTAGTTTCTTTGTTTTTCCTTGCAATACGCTTGTATAAGCTGAGCTTTTTTACTACCGGATCTTGAAGGAGCATCAAATAGATGTAAATACAAACTCTTAATGAAAGGCTTATCATCAAGAAAGAAATTGCGAAGAAATTGCGAAGAAATTGCGAAGAAATTGCGAAAATCTTACGGTTAATTGAATTTGGGAATTTTAGTCCGATATACATTGCCTGTAAGTATACATACATATGTAACTCTATTTATAGTAAGAGAAAATAAGGACATTACGCTTACAAAACAAGATTTACATTTATTAATCGTTTGCAATCCAGAGAATTATAACTATGTTTGCATGATTTTATTGTAGGGCTATCTTAATAAACATTATGTTTAAAGTAAGCGGACAGAAATGTATTTTAGATGCATAAATTTCCATTTATAATGGAAACGAATTTTGTAATGTTTAAAATAAAAGATGTAGGATTGATTTTTGAATCATCTAATACGAAGATGGAAAATAGATGAAGGAATTTAGCATCTTTTCTTATAACCATATCGAGTATCGATCAATTTTGTCATTTCTTCAAGCGATAACTTTCTAAAGAGAAACGTAAATTCTATATGTGTATAAACGAGTATAATTCAATGATAGCAATAATCTTAATATAATAGCATGTCAATTTTAATCGATTTATAAGCTATATCAGGATCCGGTATTAATGAATTCTGCTTATACAATTTGTTCTACGATGTAGGCTTTGCGTGGTCTACGTTATACTGATTAAAAACTATGTACATACTTCAGACTCAACGGATGAACGTTCACCTTGTCTATTTTCAGTTTTTATTAAACGTAGCTCGACGCTCTTTCCTCGCAACAATCTCATTTTTAATAAGTATCTCGTTACAGGTAATACAGCATTTGTTCTTCTCTAATTACAGCTAGGTAGCGCTGTTTGTCTTTAACCTACGTTTCGTTTACGTTTGACAACTTATTTACAAATTAAACGCGACTTCAAACATCTTGCGAGCTAATTCCAAGCCAGTCATTTATTCAATGAACATACATACATACATACATACATACATACATACATACATACATACATACATACATACATACATACATACATACATACATACATTTGTATATACAAATAGCATGATTTTTTAAACATAATCTGATCGTTGAAATATATTTTCAACGACATTAAGGAACCTATTATGTATATTTATTACACTTACAGAATTTCTACGTAACTTCTAAATTATTGGAGAAAGTATTATAATTATATCTTACAAGTTGCTTGATCATTTCTTAAGAACTGCATTTTGGAAGAAGAAGGTTTCGAAACACAACGATGATTGTATTACAATGTACATAATCTATTATAAATTTAATAATTATGTCATATTGGAAGCGAAACGAGTCGCCGATTTTTCTTCAGAATATAACATTCACAAAGCATAACACAAAAGATAACCTTTTAACAACATCGATGAGAATGTCGCTTTGTTTCTCGTGTTACTAAGTATCTGAGAAATATCTCCATCCTGGCTCAAGTCCCGCTTCAGGGAAATTACAGAAAAAATATTTCGGAACATATTTTAAATCTTTCCGCTTCGATGAACTAGAGGAAGGACAAAAAATTCAGTAAAAATTCGAACGAAATTGTTAAACACTGAAAACATTTTCACATAATACATTTGCCTTTGATCTAAAAGGTAGCTGTACTGTGTAGTCGTGTCTAAAAATAAAACAAAGATTCGTAGAATGTGCCATTCCAGCAAGCAGATGTCATAAAGTACGGCTGGCGAACGAAAAGCGCGCAAGATACCGATTTAACGAGCCCCATCTATAAAGTCTTAAAACGTTTACAGGGCGACGTGTTTCCGGCACGTGAACCTCTGTCGAAATTTGCAATTTCGTTGCGTGCCGACGAAAGACATAGAAGAATTCACTTGTCGTTCTCCCCCCGTTTCCGGTTGTTATTAATGCTCGCGTCGAGTCTCAATCTTTCGTTCGACTGACCAGCCAATTCGTTTACGAGCTTCCGGTTGCACGCCAAATCCTTCGAATCGACTTTGTCGAGTGTCATCGAACCCAAGAGACGGAATTCGGCTTTTAGCCTCATCTTCGCAAATATTTAACAACTTCAGTGACGAAATGTACTATTTAATGTTGAAATCGTTAATTTAAACGGAAATATTAAAAAATGACGATGTCGATACATCTATCGAGTTGGCCACCGGGAAAGAATGAGTTAAAAAGATGGACACAGTATACAGTATAGCGTTACAGCGATAGGAGATCGAGCATGGAGATCTAAAGTCCGGTGTAGAGGAACGACTGCGATATCGCTCCGACAATATGTCTGCCTTCGTTGTTCTTAACTGCGTGAAAGAAAGGAAGACATGGTCACAGCGATATCGCTCGGACAAAAGTCGTTCGTCTATACCGGGCCGAAAAGATCGGTTTCGGACGAACGATTTGCGACAAATTGCGACAGCGGCGGCCGCGACGTTGAAAGAACAGGGATACAAAGTTGTTCCGTCTAACGAAAAAGGGATAGATACGTTCTTCCAAGCAGTCGCGGCTGCGGCAATTTGCCACAAACAGCTCGTCCGAAGCCGGTATTGAGTGACCGCAGCGACGCCTGTCCAAAGGCAGCCTGACACGCACTTCGTCATGCAGGAGCAACTTTTGCTCGATAGGTATATAGACCTCGCACTTATCGCGGAAGAAAATTAATTGTAAGAGAATTTTAAGGCAAAGTATGTGGATTGTTTGGAAGATAGTAGAAAATGGTGAAATCAAATAAATCAAATCAAACAAGATACTTGTGAATTATTATTTCAAACGAAACTAAACGGTAATATTCTTTTCAATTGTGATTTTAGTTCCTTTCCATATTCTTTTTCGAACAATAGCACGGAATTTTTAATATTCTTTGACACGTTTTCTTAATTTTTATTTCAGCGTCTGTTCAATTCTTCTGCTCGATATTTTTTTACATAATTTCTTTACTTGGTATGAAAATTTTGCTGAACGTTTCACGCTTTAAAACGTAACGTTTTTTTTTGGCAGTCAGAAAGTATGGAACAGAAAACGAGATGCGATAGTATCGGTAAGAGTATGTTTATAGACGAGGAAAAGTTTCGTAATTCCATTGCATTTTTAAGGATGTTCAATCCTCGTTCGTTTATCCTGAGAAGTGAAGCTACATCAATCAACCAGATTCTCTCTTACAAATATTAAATTAAAAAGTTCCGGAAATCTATTTTCTTCTGAGACTTGATGTAGCATGTGCATGTAAATGATGTAACATGTAAAACATGTACGTCATTTACATTTACGCATCCATATCACATTGAATTGTTTACTACGCCGAAGTGTTAAAATCGAAATCAAACCGTTCAAATAGATTTAATCTCAACTCCATCTTGTGGGTTCGGCGAATCGTAATTTTTACGCGATATTAGACGCGCAGAGTTTAGCGATTCGAGGAAAGTGACCGCAACGGTCCACTAACTGCGATCCACGGGCAAGAAGTTTCTAGAATGGGCTTGATTCGAGATTAGAGTTGCCTGAAGATCAGTCTAAAATGGCGTGAAATTCGTTCTCCGCGTTGAATGTTTTAGAATTTGACAAAATTCGCGTGACTCGGCCGCAGATTTCTGACGACGATTAATTAACGTGCTGATAAATCGTCCAAGCGTGACGGCCGTTCGAGCGTGATCGATTTTATCGGCAAAGACAACGCGTACCACGAATCTCGCTTAGGCTCCATGAATATGAGCTGGTTTTATCACACGGACGTTCCCATTGTTCCATCGATGGCTATTATACGTTCCAACAATGCGTGCAAGTTAACAGATTTTATTACATGACCTTCCTTTAATGAAATAGAAATAAGAAAAATGTTTTGTTCATAAAGTTAAGTTAAGTAAACTGTCCAATTTCTAAATGTATCGATTTCATAGAAACAACAATCCACTTTCATCCACCTGCTTGAAATCACTGAAACTTTTGTACTTTGTGACCATTGCGAATGTATCGAGTTCGTACCTTCGTTCTTCTTGAAATACGCTTCCTAACAGAGTGAAACAAACGCGTAAGATAAAACTAACGGATTTTGAAAAGATAACAGAAAACAGACCATTTTCGTAACATATATTTTCCAGGTAATTAATAGAAAACTAAAAACACAGTCTCCCATTTATTCGTGTAACACGAATTTTTCTTACGAATTCTACTTACTCAAATTTGCAAATGATAAATCAAACGAATGAAAGAAACGGCGGTACTAATCGAAACTTCTATTTTTGCAGGAGACCGCTTGCCTTTAATTAAGATATGAATCAAGTTCTCTGTCGCGACGGACCAATTAAAGAAATAAATCCACTGATCATTAATTTCACCGGTAATGAACTTTTGGTTAATATCTTGTTTTTCACGAAAAGGAAACACTCTTTTCGTTGTTTTCTTTTATCTTTTAATTAAGTGTATTCTTCCGCGGTAAAAAATCACAGAAAACAAGAAATTATACACACAATGGGAAATTATTTAGGCTGACATTTCTTTCTCGTTCAATTTTGTTTCTTCTTCTAACTAAGCTTATATGATAATTTAATAAACTAAAAATCTAAATTCATCTTCTAATCAGTCAATGTACACGTGCACGAACTACTATCCTTTGAGTCTATTAACAATAAAAGAAAAATAGTTTTAAATAACAAATTTATTTATTAAGACAACTGTTGTGCAAGCTATTGCTTTTTGTTGATGATATTCGGAGCAATATTCCTCATAATAGACGTATTTTTTAATTAGAGTTTAAGCTTTATATTTTATGAATTATTTATTATATTTTATAAATTGCATCGCAGAATCGTTTTGTCATTTGATCGTTTTCTCATTTTCTTTAATAATTCTACAAAATAATCTACACAATTTATGATTCATAAATAAATAAATAAACTGCAATTATGATTCAATACGATTCAAAACTATTTTTTTCATTTTTTTTTTTTTTAATAGATGTACAAAAGTGTCCAGTCAGATAGTTTTTTCACTTTATATTCCAAAAGCGATATCTTTATGAATTTCAAGTAACATTACATATATTATTCTTTATCGTAGTACCGCCGTCTTTCGTTATTCCTTCGATCACTCTCGAATTAATCAAGTCAGTAGATTGGATTGGTTACATTATCGACAGATAACGAGGTCCATTATTGTAAAGTTTCCTAACACGGCAAGTTGGACGATCGCTCGACGAATGAATCGATACCGATTTCTTTTGTGGATCGCAAAACACAGCTTGCTCGACGCGACTGTTCACGGGGGTTTCTTTCGCTAGACGAACTCTGACGGGGTTTTCCAGCAGCTCGCACAACACGGCAGGGCGCTCATCAGCGTGTCCTTGAAGGCCTCGCGGAAGTCGCGGTTGAAGTACGCATAAATAAGCGGGTTCAGAGCGCTGTTGAAGTAACCTATCCAGAAGAGGACGGATACCACCGTGTCTGGACAATAGCAGGCCTCGCCGCATAGAGTCGTCGTTAGATACCTAGAAAAGAAGAATATTTATACGTCGGTTGGATGTTCTTCTACAAAGTATCGTTCGTGGTGAGATTGGATTACCATGAGCAAAAAAAAAAAAAAAAAAAAAAAAAAAAAAAAAAAAGAAGAAGAAGAGAGAGAAAAACACAAAATGGGGCACGAAGGAAAGGAGAAAGGAAGCAGATTTGCTAAAGGGATGGAACTAACAGTTACACCGTATCAAATGTTCAATGGAAGACTTTTATTAGGTTCTGGCTTTTTATTTAAGCTTTGAGAGAAGAATTTGATGATGATGATGATGATGATGATGATAATGATAATAATAATAAGTGCCTAATTTCTCCGAAGAAAGCTTCGAAATCTCTGAATTCTTAAGCTTTCCTCATCTCAGAAAGATGTTCTCCACCAAGACAAATATCACTATAAACTTCATTAGTACAAGAAATTTTCGTAGAATGTAAATCTAAGCACGTGGTAGTTCTTAACGAAAACTACTATTGGCCTGAACTCTCGCTTTAGAATCGAAGATTCCGAAACTTTCGCCAACTCGAAATTTCCACGCCAACAAAAACGGGATCTTTATCAACGACAGTTAACTCGATTAATTTAACTGATAAATCAAAGTTTCGCGCAACGTATTCAAGAGTCGTATCGTAAAGCTGTGCCGCAAGTGCTGCAACGTTCGAAGTGCGGTTTGACACGGACGATTTTCATTAAATCTGAAATATCCTGCTGGTTTTGGGACTGCTGGTCGCCGTATTATTCCCAGCGGTAAGAAGCTAGTGCCATTTCCTATGGAACACCGTGGCCGCCTCGCTTAGTCAGGAAAACAGTTAGATTGCATGCGAAAAGAGGAGTAAACTCTCGGTAAACTCGACTCGAGATGCACGCAGATCGGCTTTGCATTAATAAAACATGCGCGTGGCTCAACTTTCGTGAGTATTCACCGACTGTAGTGAAACTTGGCCGTCGGAACGAAATCCTGCTGAACAGAAGAAGCTTCTAGCTCCTAGCGAACCTCGTCCGTGCTTATATACGCGACCGATACGAATCGCAGTTTCTGTCTAGTCTTGAGCCGTTGATGTGGAACAGGGTCTCGCTTTTCTGGTCGCGAAATTTATGAGTAGATAGATGCGCGAGGCGACACAAATAGGAAAGTATCCAAGTGTTTTATACGAAAAGAATATCTATAGTACGTAGTCTAGTATTGTAATTGTAATATACAGATTGTAATATATTGTAATATGCAGAATATAGAACGAAAGAGGTTAGTACGAAGGTTTAGTTAAAACCTTGGTTTTACTTGGTGCTAGCACAAGGAAAAACATTCATATAAATATGTAAATATAAAAAGTGATTGTACATTTTTGCATCCAATACAGCATTTAAATACTAATTAATTAAATTCAGGTATAGTAAATTTCGTATCATGTAATAGTACTTTCATCTAACTATGAAAACTTGATATATAATGTGTGAGTGAAGCGTAAAACCTAATGAAGAATGGCTTCGTTTGAAAACGGGGATATGTGAAAGGAAATGTAGTCACTCAATATATGTATCACATACAATGAATGACTTGGAAAAAAATACGTTTTATCGATAGCGCAAGAAAAATTCATATAAACGTAATAACATATGAAGTAAACATATAAATATGTATATACTCGAGCGTTAAAGAGATTTTCTAATCTAAACCTTCGAAAAAGGAGGAAAAGAAACGATTCTTTTGACATTAGGTGTTTGAAACTACGGGTGGAAACGGATGTTTTCGCATTCGTAAAGTTAGAAGAATCAGAGAGGTTTGCAGAGCTGTATTTCCTGAGATGGTCGACACGACATCAAACAGGAGATCAAAGTCCCAGTTGACCGATTGATTCGAAATTTTCCATATATGACTTCAACATACATGCCACAAAATGCAAAACTAATAAAACAATCTTTTCCTCCATTCGTTTAGCTCACAAAAAGAACACAAAAAGAACACGAAAAGAACACGAAAAGAACACGAAAAGAACACAAAAAGAACACATTTTCTATATTTTTTCCATTCTAATTCACAATCATAATATTCACAATATTAATTTAGGATCTTTAGACTTATCGATTCAGACAAGCGAAATGACCGGAATATTGCCGACCAATAAGGCACATTTGTTTTAAGGGAAAGTGCGGCAAGTATCTTACAATTTAGTTAATTTGAATTACTTGGATCGTAACGTAGTCTCTACCTACCAAAGGAAAAATGGTAGCCAGCAAAGGAGGAACGCTCCCATTATTATTCCAAGCGTCCTCGCAGCTTTATGCTCGGCTCTCCAGCTCTTCGTTTGCTGTCGTATCGAAGTGCCTGAAAAAATATAAATTTATATTAATACATAGCTCTTAACGTATCGAATAACGTAGTGCCGTTTAGTTTCGCGGTTAAAGTTAAAAATAGTACGGTAAGCGACAACTTTTCATAGCTAAAGTAGAAAATCATTAACATTACAATGATTTTTAGTTTTATGATTGGGTGAAACTATGGAAAAGCTGACTAGTCTCTGATTTCGATGATTTTTGAGTATGTTGTAAAAGTCAACAACACTTACTATTTCGAATAACCTTCTTCCTATACATGTAAGGGGTGGATTCGCTCGGTTTTCGAAATATTCGCAAAAAGAACTGGAAATTAATTGAAAAATTCCGGACTAACAGCTGAATAAGATGACAGAACTGACAAAATTGTCTCTAGCGTCAGGTTAATCAGAAAAATTGTAGTGCGTTTTGAAGAGTTTCAAAGAAAGAAAATGTGCGAGGGAAGACTGAATGTTACACATGTATTAAAGACTGGTAATTTTGATTGATAAGAAGGCATAGTACTATTTCAAAGGCACTTAACTTTCAACTTTAGATGTTAGATCGTAGACGTACTACAGACTTAGATGATATTTACTTAGATTATATCTAGATTTAGATTATATTTTACTCCCCAACGAAAATTATCTATTAACGAAGTTATGATACTTAAAGGTTTTCGATTTGAGTATCAAAATATGAAGAACAATGAATTGTTCAATTATGGATTAATGCACGATTGTGTACGATTGTGATATAATTAAAGCATGAAGCCGGCACTTTTGTAAATATCACGGTTGATAGAGAATGAATGTTGTAACAATGAAACGAATAAAGTGAAAATTTGACATTTTTTGTTCAAAAATTCACCGGGATCTTAAAGCGCTCGTTAATTATAATTTAATACAACGAACCGTTTAAATTTTTTATATGGCGGTGAAATATTCCATCGCGTTTCCATATTTCAACACGATATTTCCATCATTGTGCATTATTCGTTTGTTTCGCGATATTTTATTGCAGGATAACAACGATTTCTCTTCTTTTTCTTCATTTAAATGTTTTCTGTTCATTATTCTGTTCATTATGTTTAAAAATAGAGAATAATTTTAATTTTCTAACGATGTTTCTATTTCTAAAACAGGTTATACGAATCTCTTATTGTTTTTCATTTTTACCTTGGTTTAGGAAAATATTTGTTCAATCGAATAAAACGGAAACACTCTATCGTCGGAAGAAATTTTCCCCGCGCAACCATCAATTTCCTTCGCATAGTATTCAAGTCCTCCCACGTTCGATCGTTTTCAACTTTTAACTGGATCTTTGTATTATCGTCCATTGTTCTATCGGAACAACCTCACGTCCATGGTATTATTTAATATCGCAAGAACGACGCGCGATTGTGCGTTTCGCACGTTGACGAACCTCATTGAGAATTAATTTGAATTCTAGGCACTAACATCTCGATCGCCTGTTTGGACAGTTAAAAAAAATATGTTGGAATCGTCGAACGAATTCGAATATGTTCTGTAGTCACGTTTTGAATAAAAAAAGAGTTTGGCAGTAGCAATCATAATGAAAAGGATGGGATTGACATTTAATTTTGAATAATTTATAAAAACTAGAAATCGGTTTCCTAATAAATTCAAAGAGATCTAAGCTGAGTGAATAGTAGAATGAATGAAATTTTATTTTATTTCGATTGGATATCAACCGCGATTATCGAATGTTAGTAAATTTGAACGTTTTCTTGCGTTGATTTTGATCTCAATTACATTCCAAAATATTGTTTCTAAGATATACGAAACATTTTCCAAATGAATTGAAATAAATTAATAGTATTTCGTAGCAATGCCAGTAATATTGAAAAACTTCGTTTCGAACGAATATACAAAGTTTATGACTCTTTTTGTTAATCTTATCTAATTATAAATTTCAATGAGAAAAATGTTGAACGAATACAGATAAATTTGGAAATCTTTACTTCGCACTCATCTAATCTGCGATTCGTCTTCGATTAATAGGGAATAATTTTCGAACGAACAAGAAAATAAATATCGCATCTCTAAGAATTTAGGATGATAAAATCACTCGCGTTTACTACAACGTTGTTATGTAATATCCCACTTTAGTATTATTGATAGAGAGAGAGAGAGTTGCGTTGATACGTACTCGAGAAGGTTTTTCGTGGGCGTCGATCGAATCAATACGCTGGCATATCGAAGCAACCAAGCTACTGTTTGTTTGTCCGATCGTTAATTATAACGCGGTTGAAGGGTTAATATAGTTCGATCTAATTGCACAATTAGCATAAAAATACAATGATAAATGCAGCGGTGTACAGAAACTTTTTACAGCCACTGTGGGTTTGCGTCGTTGATATCTCTTCTTTCTACGAAAGATAGCGAATCAGTTTCGACGGGGTGATGTCCAAGCAGTGTTTAGATAATGCACAGCTGCAGAATGAGAAAACGGTCGTATCCGAAAGCCGAAAGCCGAAAGCCGAAAGCCGAAAGCCGAAAGCCGAAAGCCGACGGGTTCGCATGCTCGAACCCGGTCAGCCAGATTTAGGTTGGTTGGTCGATGCTCACCGGCTTCTTCGCTTTCGTACGATCGATGCGCCGCCCATCTATTAGAATGCAGGAAGCTTCAACCCCGTGCAGCGACACGGCCGATTTAAGTGTACACACGCAATTACTCGTCGGTCTATCAAGCACGCCGACGAATTCATACGGTTCGAAAAATGTGTAGCATCTTCGGATTCGAATAGTGGAACATCGAGTGACAACAGATATGGAGATTCTTGGCTCGTAATTCCGGTCGTGAGCAGATAGGATTGATTTTATACGCGATGCGATGGATACAGAATTTCGAGAGGAATTGCGTTTGGAAGATATTATTTGACATATCTAGCAAATGTGTGACTATCGTCTTTAAAAATATAACTCCAAGGAAGTAGATCTCCTTTGATTCCGAGATATAGAGATTATAATCGCCCCATTAAAATATAAAATACATTACTCATATATTTATGACTTTTTAAATAGTTGCGATTTAAACATTTGAAACGTTATCGAGAAATTTGATGTACTTCTTGCCTATACAGATATTTACATCTAAACATTTGACTATGACTGAAATAAATCTTGCGCGATATTTGAAATGGCTAATAACAAAAATATTAATCAATCATCGATAATTAATGCTAATTAATCGATAGTCCCCTCATAAGTACGATATAACATTTGTAGTACAACATAGTCAATTATATTTTATATAGTTTGATTCTTCCATATATGTGTATATTCATGCAACAGTGAATGATGAAAGCGCTAAAACTTGAAGGTACCTATCCAGATTCCCGTTCATTTCTAACCATTAGTAACCGTAACTTCTTATTTCGGAGACTATGGCTACGTTAAAACTTTGCACACCTTTTATACTTTTTCTTACTGTGTGAACAATGTATTGCGAACAATGTATAACGATATGGTGAAATTAATTGAAAACCAACACGTTCGTTATTATAGTGGATTGATATAAAACGTCCACTATAGACCGTGTTTTGCAGTTGTTTCTTGCAATTTTATAGAAGAAAATCGTATAATAAGTAATAATCATTTGATATTTGTTTCTTTCTTTAATCTAACACGTCAGTCATATCGTATATTCGTTTACTTCATAGCTTAGAATTAACGCTATTAGATGCAAAGTGCAACGAGAATTAGAGCAATTTGCCTCGAACTCTAAACAGCATACCTTCGGTTAGGACAGTGCGATATTAGTTACTATTAGCAGTAGCAAATGAACGCTGTATCAAAGAAAGATCGTTATTTAATGCTTCTACACGTATATATCTCCTCGTGTACTTTAGTAACGTTATTACTTCCTTATCTATATTTGTAACCTTAGTATTACCTATGCTTGCAATACATGCCAAGAATATAACAAGAATAATAAGAATAAAATAGTAAAATGTAATAGTAATAGTAATAGTAAAATATATTAGTAGAACTAGGAATTTGTACAAATATCCGTAGTCTACTTACTACACAACCTGATATAATACGTTCACCATTCTCCAAGAAGCAAAACCCGACGAGCCACTGCAATCTCAGAGTTCTCAATCTCCAAATAAACAAAAAGAGAAAGAAAGAGAGAAAAGAAAGAAAAAATAATCCTGCGAATTTACATGAGAACCTAAATGGCCTCCATCTTTGATTCAATTACCACGTATCTCGAGTGCATCGCAAGACGTCAGGTGATTGTAACCATTGCGGACCGGTGCAAAAACCATTCGATCGTCCGGTTGTCCTCGTAATCGTGCTGGTAACGTGGTGTAATTGGCGAGTGGAGGCGCGTATGCCTCTGCGAAATTACGCATGGAGAGTTGGAGAGTGAAGACACGACGGATACACGACGCACGTGACTTTAAGGAAACGACATTGTCCCACTTTCGGACAATATGCGGTTCTAGTTGAACGAGGATTACCACGTCGCTTTTGTCCCACTGCAGTGAATCGCACAGGCATTCGTAAATTGTTTTAATTAGAAATATCGATCGTGGGACGTTTATCTTGTTACTTTTGCAAAGTAATCGTGGTGTAAGGTAATTGTTAGTTGCGATGTAATTGTTATTTTGCAATTTCCGTTGGGTCGAGGATTAATGCAGTTTTGACTTATTTACTTACTTTACGTATACCTATATTATATAGATTTTTTCGATATAATTATAATTGTTAAACGGATTGCGGATTTTGTCGCATTTCTATATATTTTTATGAACATAACTGAAAAGAAATAGAACCTAAGTGGAAATGTGACAAATTAGTCAGAGGTATTGTCACCTCTCTGATTTCTATAATTTTTAACGTTTTCAACACTTTTTCCCTACATATATAACACAGCCTTAATAATAATTTTTCGCCGATAGCAGCGTATGCGTTAATATTGGTTGCCAAGCAGCTTAAGAAGCGTCGCAACTGCCGAATATAACGATCTTATCCAAGCGGA